TAGGCATGATGGTACGAAGTGAGTCATAGAGTCACATTCGCCAGTATTAGCCTCTACTCGATTCTTATAGTGAAAAGTGATTTTTGCGATCTCAAAGGCATGCAAACAAAGATTCAATTTGCTCCAATATATTATTAAGCTAAATTGGTTGAATATTAATGCAATACATAACTCTAAAATATTGTGATCACTTTAATTAATAACAAGATTAAAAAAAAACCTAAACCGGTCGTCCAAATTATCATATTAAACGTGATTTTCAATTACATATCCCTTTAAACATGCAATATGGTGATCAATAAATATAATAAAATAAGCATTAATATTGGAAGCAATTTAACAATAATAGAGTTAGTCAAATCAAATATATTAACCTAAACATGATACTAGCAATATTAAAATAAAATAAGAGTAATTAAAATAATTAATTACTCACATTCCGCACGTTCCTTTAAATTGCTACATCATGAATAAATTGTTAGTAACTTCAATAAAAAAATATAAATCAAATGAAAATTAAATTAAATAAATGTAGATTTGATTTGGTACAAACCCTCAGTTAATTGTACCTTTCACGCCTTGGTTTAAAGACGGAGACTCGGGTTAAGTATGAACTCCTTGGAGTGCTTAAGGAAGAATGGTGTAATTAGGAATATAGGTTAAAGGCTTAGAATATGAGAGAGAGAGGGAAGAGAATGATTTTTGGTGTAAAAGAGAGAAAGAGAGAAGGATTTGATGCCCTGAACTGTAGAAAGAAGAGGGTATTTATTGGGAAGATGAGTAGAGGGAAGTCACGGAACCCTAAAAAGATAAAAACCCTAAAAAAGGTTGCCGCATCACGGTAAAGAATACCGTGACACAGGGAAACTGGAGTGACGCGGGAAATATTTGACCTACGGGAGTAAAAACGCGTGAAGGTATTACGCGGAAAAGATATGAGAAGATTCCGTGACACGACAGTGTCCACCGTGGCACAGTATAGTACACTGTTTCGCGGTAAAAAAAAAGTACGTGGAAATTACACGGAACAACCCCGTGTCACGGAATGGGCATCGTGACACGGGAAATTGTACCGTGACGCGGTGCAAAATCTCGTGGCGCGACAATATTCTCGTGATACGGTGAATTAAAACATGGAAAAATCACCGTGACACGTTGTAAATTACCGTGTCACGGCACCAGGCACCGTGCCACGTCATCAGGCGCCGTGACACGGTGCTTTTACACAGTGCGCGATAATTCTAATTTTTTACACGCTTTTAAAATCATCATAACTTTTGATGCGTCACTCAGAATAAAGCATATAATATTTCATTGGAAATCTTATAAAGTCTACTTTCCAACCCAATTGGAATCAGGTCAAAATCATTTGTAGATTTTACGATATGGTTGTTTTAGTAGAAGAGTTTCGGTTTTAGGCCGAGTTTAGTGTTTGGCTCATATCTTCTTCGTTTTAAATCGTAATTGGGCTTATGATATATAGTTGGAAAGATTATTTCTAGGCCTATCCACCCAAATAATAATTGAATCAAAATTATTAGGCCAAAAATTCAGTTTCTCTCGGTTTTTTCGATGTAGACACGAAAAAAGGAAAACAAGTTATGGTTTAGGGAAATGAGCTAGGAAATGGATTGGTTTATGAAATGTATTGAAAAGAACATGGATTTAAGCACTCCAAATATTAAATAATCAACCCAAATAATAATTGCGGTGAAGGGTTATTCATCATCGGGTTTGGTTTTGGGGAGACATTTTTAGGTATCTACACCCACCTAAAAATTTGAACGGTTATTATTTGAAAAGTTTAACCTAGAATTCAAAAAGGGTAAAAAGGGTTCCCCCATTAACTTAGAGGGAAAAAGAGACGGACGTATAACGACACGTCCAAATTGATCGCCATGTCAGAAAAATGAAAACTTCCATCCTAAAAAGACATGCGTCCGATCTCCCCTCTAAGAAGATGGCGTGTCGTATTCAGTCCGCCCAATTTCCAGACTCAGCTGTCCGATTGAGGAATAATAGGAGGACGGTATATGCTTTATTCCCAAAGGCAGTCATCCATCAAAATAGGCGAAGGGATCCATCCGCTTGTTCCACCATATGCTTTAGACTTTCTTATGCGGACACGGTAAGAAGTGTAAGGATTAGAGGAGGCGGTCTGTAGTGTACGAGCCATACCCCCTCTGAGGGGAAAATGTTTAGGGTAAAAATACCCTTTACACATGGTCCAATCCCATAGTGACACGTGGCCAAATCAAAGGGTGACATGTGTCCCAATGGGAAGATGAGTCTTGTAATAAGCTCACAAAAAGCACCTGAAATGAGAGAAAAAGGGTCTTTCTTAAATCAGAGCCCAAATCCCGAGATTCTTATAGAAAGACGCAAAACAACGCCCCTAGTTGATACGTGTCAATACATGATTGCGCAGCCAATCAAGACACGAAAATTTAGGTCACAAACCCTAAAGGGGCACAAATTCCCACCTCTATAAATACCCCAATCATTTGTGATGGGAGAGGTGGATTGTGACATAACAATTAATAGAGCACTAAAAGCTCCAGCTTCTCGCTACTTTCTCTCTCTAGCCTTTCCGTTTTCCAGTTGCTAACTTAACCGTCAGAGGCAAATATTCTGGTGACGGAATATGCGTTTTTTTTGCAGGTGTTAAGTCTCGTTGCCAGCAGTACATGACCAGTGTCCCGAGGGATTCCAAAAAACCCCGAACAATCTTCTATTGCTAAACTAATGAGGAATATATATCTTCTATTCCTAATTGCTTGGGTTGATCCTACATATAATCCTTGCTATATCTTGTCTATTTTACTCCCTATTTGCCTAATTACCTTGGTTGAGTGGATCTCATTTCGTAGTGTCTTTAATCCATTGAATTAGAACCATAGTTTGTTTGTCTACTTGACGAACCTCGAATCACCAATGACTTCGAATGAGCTTAAGTGTTAAGATCTTTATAGAAACCATATTCCGTTCCTTGTGGACCGAACTCTTACTTCACATTATGCTTGGTTTGTAGGATGTTTGTTTATAAATGTGTTTGATTGCGTGCGGAATGTGCGACCGTTCTAAATCCCATCATTAGGAAAATTTAATTAACTTTATAAAATAAAAGGTAAGTGGGTAGTTGGAGTATAAAAAATTATAACGAAAGAATGAAAGATAGTATGTTAATAGTTTATTGAAATATAAACAATGTAAGGGGAAATAAATAATAAAAAAGTAGTGGTGGATTTGGGTGGGAACCATGAGAGGACAAATATATAATATTAAACTAGTTATTGGCCCGGGCTATGTCCTGGGTCATTATAAATGTATTAATTTAATCGAACTATATATTTTTTGGCTTGTTTGTCATAGAGAGCTTAAGTGGGTTTTTATTATTATTATTATTTTTTTTTTTATTATTATTATTATTATTTATAAAAGATGTAGCTTAAGTAGTTTGTTATTTGTATGAGCTGAGTTGACTATAAGAATAATATTTTGCATTAATAAATATAGGGTAAATGATAAATCAATCCGTTGTTTGAAAAAAAATTGATAAATCAAATCTTTATAAATTTGATGTTGATATATATATATATGTGTGTGTGTGTGTGTGTGTGTGTGTGTATATATATATATTTATAATTGAGATCATGTGAGAACCAAGGTGAATAATAGGAACTTGGAACTAATCTCAGCCGTTAATCGCACTCTATCCAATGGCTCACATTGCACCCGCTCTCATTAATGGCATTCTCGTAATTTCGCTATTTTTAAATTTTTTTTTCCACTTTTTTTAACTTTTAAGGCAATTTCATTTACTTTAAGACTGATTTCATTTACTTTTACTAAATTTTCATTTACTTTTGAGAAATGAAACTGGAAACAACCTTATAGAGTTAAAATATTACAAAAATGCCTTAATGACACAGGAAGCATGTGAGTCGTCCGATTAACATGATCTTAGGGCCTAGATTAATTTCTACTCCCTTCGTTCCCTAATGTTTTTTACGTTTGGAATTATGCGTGGTTATTAAGAAATTGTGTAAAGTTAAGGTATATTGGAATATTTCAATGATTGAAAGTACAATTTTATTGAAAAATACAATGTTGAGCATGTGGGGTGAAGAAATTAGAGGAGAGATGAGAGAGCCAGTAATAATAAGTGTTGAAAAACTATTAAAATAGTACAAAAAGTACAATAACACATGGAAAAGTAAGGACTTTTGAGTAAAATAATTGAAAATTAAGGGTAATTTTGTACAAAATTTATGACCAAGAAAGATACTAAATGTAAAAAATAAAAAGGAACACCCTAAATGGAAACGTAAAAAACATTTAGGAACGGAGGGAGTAGTTCTTATTTTAGCCTTGGTTCTCATTATATATATATATATATATATATATATATATATATATATATATATATATATATATATATATATATATATATATATATATATATATATATATATAGTGTCAAATGAGAAGGGTCTTATAATGAGGAGGATGAGAAGGAATCTCATTGTTCAAAACTTCAAATAGAATGATCTAATGGCCCTCATTACATGCCTCATTAATGGCAAATATGTAAATAATATAAAAACTTCTTTCAGTGCAAGAAAAAGAAGAATTAGCAACTGATTTTTGCAACTACCATAATAATCAGTCGCAAAAATTATATTAGCAACTGAAAAAAATGAGTAGTCGCAAATTTTGCAACCAATTTTACATAAGTTGCTATGTGGTCACTAATTAGCAACTGTTTTTTGCGACTACCAAATAATCTGTCGCAAAAAAATTTTTTGCGACTAAAAAATAAGAGTACTTGCAAATTTTGCAACTGATTTTTTAGTAGTTGCTAATTGGTGGCTAATCTGCGACACTCTTACAATTTTTTTGCAACTAAATTATAGTTGTTAGGGTTAATTATTTTGAAACCATTTTTTAAAAACATTTGTGACTAGTGACTACTATTGCAACTAACATGATAGTCACTACCATTATTTTTAAAATTTATTAATAAAGAAATTAAAAACGTATATAGTATAATAAATTGTTGCCTAAAAAAAACAAGAACTAACTATCACTCCTTAATCCTTATTATTCATAATCGCAGTACATACTCTTCTTCCTTTAAAAAAAGTAACCAAAGGCTTCCATGGCGAATTTCAAAACCAAGTTCAGAACTTCAGAGTGAATTTGTTGCCGTCGTTTTCATCTTCCGCCGCTGTCAGCACATCTCCTCCCAGGTTAGTTACGCATTCTTTCCCTTCCTACCGTCCATTCCATCTTTCTCTTAATACAATTTGCCAATTGCAAATTTTAGGGTAATCATTGAGTTTTTTTGTCCAATTTTTTATTTTTATTTTGGTTTCCATTGCGAATTGCGGATCGATTTTAATCTAATTATTGTTTGAAATGCGTATTGATTGAGTTGCGAATTGATTTTAATCTAATTATTGATTAAATTGATTGAATTGCGAAATGATTGAGTTGGGAATTGATCTGACTTTAATCTGGTTTCCATTTGAATTGCGTTGATTGAATTGATTTTAATTTGGCTGCCAATTGCGAAATTTAGGGTTATCATTGAAGTTAATTAATGTGAAACCATTCAAAATTGATTGATTATTTAGTTTGTGTATGCGAGATAGCTACAAAATAGCAACCTAGTATTAATTTGAATCGTGAAAGTCCGTTATTTTAATTTCCATATTCATTATTTGTTAAGTAAAAATAAAAAGTACATTTACCCCACCATGATCTGCATCAAATTATTAGCTAATGCACAATGAAGTGCTCAATTGGATATATAATAGTAGAATTGACTAAACAAAACTGAAAGCCTCGTTGATGCACAAGTTTTATATTGAGAAATGGACTACAACAAACATGTCATGTATATGTAATGTAATTATGATTCTTGTTTTCCCATTTCCTAATTAAGGTTAAATGAAACAAATTTGCAATGGTTAGATTTATGACAGTTAAGCTGTGAAAGTATTGTGAGCGGAGTTGAGGTTATCTATGTTTTGGTTGGGGTTTACAAAATCAATTCCGCTAACTGAATAGTAGATTTCCATACTTATTGCAGTCCTTGTGTGTGTTATTGTTAGTAATACATTTGGTGATGGAGTGGTACCAAATTTTCGAAAAATGGTTCATTGATCTATATTATTTGCTGTAGAAATGATTCATTGGTTTATAATATAAATGCCTCGTAAAGCTGGGTGATCCACACTACAGGGACGGTTGCAAATTCTTGCTAATAGTGGCATAAGACTCATCTCAGCTTTGAGTTTACCTTTCATTCTTGTCTGATCTCTTTGTTTAATATTTTTTTTTATTTGTGTGCAAGGGAATTACTTAATAAACTAATTGGCTACAAGAGGGTTGGAATTACAGCACTTTGTGATACAATCTCTCATTCAACTGCTGTGTCGGCTCACAAAGTTTAATTTGGTAGGTTTGATGATTATAGATTCAGGGACGTGATAAACGAGTCCATGAGCTTTCTTAGCTAGGTGCCTATTGTTGTAAATATGCTTGTTGATTTCATTTGTAAGGTTGACACAGTACTCAAGAGCAGGTGTTAAGTAGATAAGTCTTGATGCTTCCTTTTAGTTGTTGGCTAAAGCTTGTTCCAGTTAGCTTGTACTTCACATAAATTAGTTCTCACACTAACATAGCAGCTTCAAGGAAATGGTCTTTCCTGTACGAAAAAACAAAAACAAAAAAAATAAAAGAAATGTTCTTCAGAAGAGGAGATGACAAACAGAACACTAACACACACACACACAGCTAAAACCCTTTCTTTTTCTACTACACACACACAGCTAGAACAAGTGGATTTGAGTCCATGATTTGTGATCCATGATATACAATTCTAATCTTCTTAAAAATTAAAGCAATCTCAAATTTACTGAAAATGTGTAATAATACTCTCTATATTCCGAATCTGGTTTCAAGTTTTATTGATTATTCTTATCTATAGTCTTATTAAGGGTTTTTAATTTAATTACTTTGTATGCTGGCAAATAAGTCCTTTTGTGCCTATTTTATGATTTGAAAAATTTAGGTACTAGGCTCAGCTGCAGAAAAACTTAATGTACCTGGCTGTAATGGCTGATGCTCAACCGCCAGCGGCCAGCATCATAGGGTTTTATTTTTTATAACAAACTGATTGGATATTGTGCATTGCGATCTTATTATGAATATCTATCAAATAAATGATCTGATCCTGTTATTAGTGCTTTGTTTTTGGCTTATTGTCATAGATTTTGGAATGTGATCAGAATATCATTAAATCAAGTATATAAAATTAAGTGTTCTAACTCACTGCATTAGTTGTTGATACTTTGGTATTTTAGGCCCTAAATGTGTACTTATAAGAGGAAGTCTATATTCCTTCCATGCCTCCTAGGCTGCCACCTCTTCATATCTTCCCCTGTCCCCTCTCTTTTCGTGCTTCTTTCTAACATTTGGCACTTGAGAGATTTGGGTGGAAGAAAAAATTGACTGCTGATTTTTAGTAGCCTCTACCGAGTAATGTCTCCGTGTTGTCAAAATTTGACAATTGTGTTTTGTAAATTCTAATGCATATGGTTTCAACTTGGATAACCATGTGCAGCATACATATACTTGGAGACCTGAGTTTGAAGAAAGCCAAAAAATGGCGGCAGAAAGTTTAAAATATGCCAAGGAAATTGCTGAAAATCATGAGATTGAAAAAGCAACACGGAAGAAGAAAAAAATGGCTATGCACAAAACATCAAAGGATATTACAACCCTTGTCCAACATTACTGTCTTACTAAGCCTCCTACGTCTACTCTCACCCGCTCTCGTGATTCAACTAAGTGATTTTTTATTTCTTGGTGATAATTTTGTGAACAACTAATCTTTAATATTTGGAGGCATATTTGTATATCGTTATTAGTTCTTATTGGAAGTAGCTTCTTTTATATGAGAGGTGATTTTGAAAAAAATTAGTCATATGGTTGAGAATGTAGTTTTTTAATACATTGATACAAAACTGATGATAATTTTGATTTATTAATATGGTTTGGATATTTGAATAAATTTGACATTTTTTTTTTGTGACAGATATTGGTCGTCGCTAAATTATGGTCTCCAAATATTGATATTTAGTCGCTAGATTTTTGCGACTGCATATTTGTTTTAGAGAATGAGTGCTTAGTTGCAAAATAATCCGTCGCAAAAAAATTAGTCTTGTAATCGCAAATTCGTCGCAAAATAATTATTCTCTGTCGTCACAAAAGTTTAGTCTCGCAGTCGCAAAATTTTGGTCTAGTAGTCACTCATCCGTCACAAAATATTGGTCTCCGTAGTCGCTAATTCGTCGCAAATATTTTACAACGGACAGTGATTTAGTTGCTAAAATTTTGAAGTTAGTCACTACATGGTAGTTGCAAAGTCGTTGCGAATCCGTTGCTAAATTTGCGACTATCCAAAAATTAGTCGCAAAAAAGCAGATTTGCGACGAGGTGTTTAGCGACTAACCAAAGTAGTCGCAAATCTGTTGCAAATCCATTTTTGCGACAAATTTGCGACTACTTTGGCCGCCACTAATTTGCCTTTTTCTTGTAGTGTTTTCCCCAATTCCTTTTCTCTTTCCCCTATACCTCTCTTTCTCTTTCCGCCATATTAATTACTCTTTTCCATTTTTTCTCCCAGGTTTAGCAGAAGATTCAATAATATAAAATATATCCATAATTTCTCTCTCTTTCTCTCTTCCCTCCCTGATCATATCTTTAAAATTTTCCGTTTTCCATAGTTTTCTTTGTTGCAATTCTTGAACTTTTAATCTCTTAATTGTTAACTTATTTTATGAACTCTAAATTTAGTGAGTAATTTCTTGTCCTTCTATGTAATTAAACATAGGAAATGGATATGGAAGAAAGAAATTTGGGAAAAAGATTAGTGGAGTAGAAATGTCTGCCGATGAAAAGAGCAATAATGGGTAAAAACGTAAAAAATAATTTTCATAATTGTAGGGAATATTTCAAGCATTACCCCAAACTTGAACCCCACTGTGATCATACAATAAAGTACGGTAGCGTCCAAAGGGAAGGAAGATAGAGCAAAAGAGTCGCCAACAAGTTTTAGGAACTTGTAAACCGTTATGAGGTGAAGGTTACACCCCTAAACGATCCATGAGATCGTTAACTCCAATAGGTCTGGAACCATGACTAGTAGTTCGGGAATGAAGGTACAAATCCAACCTAAAAGAGATTGAACCTGCCCTAATAATAGGCCTCTACTTTATTCTGATTGTATTCGTGTGCGCTGTCTGACTAACATGCAATCAATAGGTTTACCCTAAACCTGTTTATCTATGTTGGTTGAATATTAATGCACAAATAAATCTATTATTGGCGATCACTTGAATTATAATCAAATTAACCCTAAAAAAGATTATTAATTATCTTATTAAGCGTGATTACAAGTACCAATTCCCTTTAAACATGCATAAAAGGTGTGATCAAGCAATAAATAATAAATATAATCAAGCAACATAATAATAATAAAAATTATAATCATATCATAATAATAATAATAATATTCATAATCACATTCATGTTAAAAATAAAGCATAATAATAACCAGATCCTAGGCATGATACTAATAAGATTAATAACAAACCCTAGCATGTCACTAAACATAAAATCAAAGCTTTAATCCTAACATGATACTAACATGAATATTAGGAAAGAAAATAGGAGGCATCATAATAATCATAATAAGCATACTTGATATTATAACTTTTACCCTAAACATGATACTAGGAAGATCAAAACACCCTAACATGACACTAGGAATCATAATATCAATTTAGACATTATTTCTATATCATAATATCAATAAAATCAACTAAAGCACTTACTTGGATGCCTCATACCTCTTTCTAATAAAAAAATACACACGTTAATCACTTCAAAGAAAATATAAAACAAAATAATAAATTAAATAATTGAAAGAATGATTTGGGACCAAACCCTTACAAAATTAAAACCTTTCACGTCTAGGGCGAAGACAACTTCGAATTTGGCTAGGTGTGTCTAGGCCTTGTGAATGCGGAATTTTGTTTGTAAAAGGGTTGGTTTAGAAAAAAAGAGAGAGATAGAAAGCTTTAGCTTAGAGAGAATAAGAGAATTAGAGATTTGTTGATGAAAAAACAGAGGTTTTAGGAGGCTATTTATAGAGATAATCAGCCAAACGGATAGAAAAACAAATCAGAGTTTCGACGAGGATAAAAGAAGTTAGCGCCAAGCGATGAACATTAGCGCCAGACGCCAAGCATTAGCGCCAGGTGCTTATGTCTGTCGCCAGGCGCTAATTTTTATCTTCACGCGTTTTTCTTAATTCAGATAAAATTTAGCCGTACAGAAGGGCAAAATTGTATTTTCCTTAAAAAACTCTTTTATTCTGATTAAAACTCTAAAAAGTCAACCAAAGTCAATTAATCAATCCTAATTGCATTAGGAATGATAAATCCATATTAGGCTCTCCTCTAGATCATTGGGCCGCATATAAGTATTAAACCGGGCCCAGTTTAGTAATTTGGCCATAACTTCCTCATTATTCATCGGAATTGGGCTTATAATATATCGTTGGAAAGCTCTTTTCAAGACCCATCCAACTACACCATTATTGGACCCCTGCTATGGACCAACCAAACTGGATTGACTATTTTCTTAAAATAGGTTTTCAAAAACAGAGAGAAAAGAAAAGAAATTAAAACTTTTCACAACACTAGACTTTCCACACTTTCACTTCATTCAATTATGATTCAACGTGAAAGGTACTCATCACTGGGTTTAGTTTTGGGGAGACACAAATGGGTGTCTACAGAAGCCCCCACTTTGACTGAGTTTTGAGAAACACAAGTTTCGAAAACAAAAGTCAAAGTAGCGATAGGGACGGAGAATGATTCAGAATGTTCTGCGATCCTAAATCATTCTTGTAACGCCGATACCTGCAAACTAGCGTTAGTTAAACAAATAAAAGAGTTAAGAAACGCGTATCTTGCACCGTCGAGCACACGTCTCTAAAAGTAACCGATTTGCTGTCGTATGTTGTATTCTTGTATTTTTGATGACCTCCTGCAAGCTAGATGTAATACCCCGTATTTTTATACGCATTTTATTTTAAAATATGTATTTTATAAAGTATTTGAATAATTTTAATATCTTAATTATGGTATTTTAACTAATATTTTATAAAAAGAAAGTTTATTTAATTTCTTTATTTATAAATGTTGGGGTTTTATTTTAAGAAAGTTTAATTTTAACAAGTTTTATTAGGGAAGGTGTTTTGGGTGTTTTTGTCCCTTGGGAGAGTTACAACACGAAGACTGATCCGGTGTGAGCTGTACCTGCAAAACAAACAAAGACACCGGTTGGGTGGTGCTCCGCCTCCGACGCACAAGTTAGAAACTTGAAGGGAGAGAATAAAGTGCGGAAATTTAGGTGGGTATCTGCTCGGATTCCAAGCTCAGGTCTTTTTCTGATGTAAGAGAATACAGGTGTAATAAATGATTGAATCTGTCCCCCAAAATGGGGAAATATCTCCCTATTTATAGGGTCATTGGAAATTGTGCCCTTATCTAGGTCACTTGACCTAGATTGTGGTGGGCTACGCCAAATTACGGCGTTCTCTTTGGGATTTGGGCCCTTGAGGGCCGTCATTTCAGAATCTATCTGAAGAAGCCACGTGCCAAATGGCTAGGGGGCCACTTGGGTGAGTCTGATCTTGACACGTGGCCTTCTTTTTTATTGGGACAACTGTCTAGGGTAATTTTTACCCTAAACATTTTCCCCTCACATGGGTCACGTGGATGTCACGTAGGGCATGTGACACGTGTCCACCTATCAAAGGTGAACAGTAACGGGTAAAATTTTTGAATTTCAAATCAATAATTTCCCCCCACTTTCACTTTCTATAAATAAAAAGTTACCCCCCCTTTTCACACCTTACGTTCACATTGACTTTTTAGAGAGAGAAAGAAAGAGATTCTAGAGAGAGATTTTCTGCTACCGTCTGCGTCACAGCAAGTTCGCGTTTCCGAGTGCGAGCAGTTCAACACCCGGTTTACCAGCTATAGTGGTTTTCAGAATTTTCAGAGTAAAAGCGAGGTAACCGCCTGGTCCATTTTAGCTTTTTTTCCTTTTAATTTGTATACCTTTTTTCCTCCGTCTGTATACCTAGCTTCTTTAGAGAATATAAATGAGTTCCCAATCCACTCACTCGGCACTGCCTAGGACACTCAGCCGATCCCTCGGAACGGCTGAGTCTAGAACAGGGGGTGCGTCTTCTGGACTGTCGGAACCAATATGCTCATCTCCGAATTCCTCCCTCTCTGTGTCTGTGCAGGACACAATGGCCAGAACGAAACAGACGGCCAGACGGTCTAGGAGCCGGCGCACTATGAGAGTGCCAGCCGATGAGGTTTTTCCCGGACAGGGAACAGAGGGATTGGGAGGAGAGCGGATCTGACGAAGAGGCTCCCTCTACTTCCGGGAGCTCTGGGGTACGGGAGGTAGACGGCGAGGGAGCCGCCTCCTCTAATGAAGTCGGCGATGCTGAGGCCGGCCAAGGATCAAAGGCTGAATCCTCTGGCTCCGACCAGGACGATTTTGCGGCTGATTATCAACAGCCGCCCAAGGTTGCTGACAATCCCAACCCTAAAAGGACCCGGATGCTGCCGGGTAACATTGCCCTTCTTAATAGTGGGTTTAGGGCCTTCAAGGAAAAGCATCCCTTTGGACGGGGTTGGGAGATCATCGTTCCTCCTGCTGATGCCGTAATGGCCTAGGGAGATGACATTGAGCATGCAGATGACTACTTCATCTGCTACGAGGCGGTTACCGAAGCCGGCCTCCGGTTCCCCCTCCACCCCGGGATTAGGAAAATCCTCAAGGGGTACGATCTAGGGGTTTGGCAGCTCACCCCCAACTCATGGGTGAATATCCTAAGTTACATCGCCGCCTGCGAGTTTCAAAACTTGAACCCCAGCTTCTCCGCCTTCGCTCATTTGCACTATTTGAGCAAGGCTCCAGGCGGCCATGGGCATGGTATACTC